GTGGGTAAACTACCATCATACCTTAATGGCTCCAAATCTAGTTCTCTAATTCAGACTTTTTTCCTGAGTTCTGGGCTCACACTCCAGCTACCTGTTGGACACACAGAGATCCCACAGCATCTCAGACGCCACAAGTCAAAATTTATCTCAACGCTATATAAAACTTGCCCACTTCTAATAAATACTAATTAATCACGGTAACATCCGCCAAATCCACCTCCAAATTATAACAGAATCCTTGGTATGGCCATAGGCTTCTGTCTCTACCTCCTACTCTATTTAGTCACTAAGAATATTCTTCAGAACCTGACTATCTCAAGACTTTCCTGTTCTCTTTCACTCTTCCCTTCCTGTAGAGCAGAACCTCGCCCACTTTTGTTATTGTAACTTCTCCCATCCAACGGATACCAATTTGGAGTTCCTTAAAAATTAAAGTGGATAGGCCAGCCTGTGGCATGGTGAGGATGGCTAGATCTCACATGGCTGGCTCAATGGTTTGAGTTCCAGACTTGGTGTCTTCAAAAACACTCCAGGTCTGTGTGCATGCATGCCCAAAATCTCAAAAGGAGGGAGAAACAAAAAGGATTGTGGCATGACCATTCTCCATGGGAGGTGCTTTCCCACTTTCTGTTTGTCTCCTGCAAGCACATGCACCCACTTGCAAAATTAGAAAAAAAAAAGTGATTAGATTAACCCACTTTGCTTAAGGAAATTAAAAGAGTATTTCCTTTTTTCCTATAAAATCAAATCCCAATTCTGTTGGGTTGTGGGGAAAGTCATGACACATTTTTGCATAGAAAAACAGGAAAATACTCATGACTTTCTTTCCCAATGACCTAACATTCTCCTTCTGGCCATACCATCTTCTGACGTCTATCCTTAATTCCATAATGTTTCTTTTCTTTTTCTTTTTAAGACAGATTTTTTGCTACAGGTCGCATCCGCTCACCAGAGCGAGACAGAAACAGAAAGCAAGAAATCACCCCCCGGGGGGATGGCCACACCTCATCTCTTATCCTCCATTCTCCTCACAGGATTTTGGGCATGCATGCACATGTGCCCAGCATGAGTTTCAAGCCACCTGGTCTGGGACTCACCATGGTTGACCATGTTGGTGTCCAGCAACATAACCATTACACCATCTGCTGACCCCTCTTTTTTTATTCTTTCTTTCTTTCTTTCTCTCTCTCTCTCTCTCTCTCTCTCTCTCTCTCTCTCTCCCCCTCTCTCTCTCCTCTCTCTTTCCCTTAAGTTTACCAGAGGATGCTTATGCTTGCCAGAGAGAGACAGAAGTCAGAAGGGGAGAAAACACTACCCCAATGGGATGTAGTCATACCATAATCCCATATTCATTTTTCCATCCTGCTGGAATTTGGGGCATGTGTACACATGTGGCCTGTGTGTTTTTTCAAGCAACAGGGACCAGGAGTCGAACCATGAAGTTGGTCATATGGGGTCTGGCTCCCTTAACTACTAGGCTAGAGACTGACCACCTCCCTACGTTTCTACTATGTTAAACTCTCTGTTGCCAGCACAGCAGGCAAGCAGTAAGCAGTTTCTATTTTATTGCATTCAGTATTACCATATGTATCTCTACACTTCTAATGTGCATAATTCCAAATCCCAGAGTCAAGCCTAATTTATAATGCTTGACTTTAAACACTTTAGAATTAAAGACTAAAGTTAATTAAATGTTCATGATAGGAAGAAGAGCTTATATAATCACAGATTTTTTTTGATTTATGCTATTCTTCAAAATCGAAATGAGGTTTATGCTTTGATAAGTTTTCTCTGAAAACAAAGCAAAAATAATGTATTTGGGGTTCACAGGCAGAGTACATTCTCTTAGATCAAGAATGACAGCAGCCCTGTGAAAACAGGTCATTCGCATGTCTCCTTAGCATTTTCAGGACACATTCATGCACTCATCTCCACATCCACCAAGGCTTCTTTGCAAATCCACTCAGAATCCAAGCTGACTCCCTGGTGGATAGGACAGACTGGTTTTATGCAGTCAGAGAGATGGATTAATGATCTCAGCAAAAAGCTGGCATGTTCAAGAGATTTAATTTTTTTTTTTTATGTAACAGTTTTAGCCAAAGCTGTTCTAGGATTCGGCGGAAGCAGAGTTTCACAGGAGGACAAACTTCTTGACTAATGGCCAATCACTAAGCAGCAGGGAGGGCAAAGCCTGGTGCTTGTGTCACAGCTGGTGGGTGGGGGGTTGGGGGTGGGACAGGCATCGGAATCAAACAGTAAATCAGGAAATCGGCCTTGCCAGCCATGCCCTCACAGCCCCTCCGAGAAGCACCATCAAGAGGAAGCAGACTGAATCAATGGTCAAACCAGGGGGAATCTGCCCCTCCGCAGGTTACTGGAAAGCAGCTTGTTGCATCATAGACATTGACAAAATGCCTTATTTTCCAAGATTTATTTGGTTCTTGTTTTGCCTGATGGTTCTGGTGGAGAGCAGAAAGCCCAGGAGGAAGAGATGGACAGGGCAGCTGGAAATGCCCAAGCCAAGGTAATGTCCCTGGTGGGAGGGAACAAGGTCACTAGCAGCAGCAGCAGGGTGGCGGCAGCAGCGGCACAATGGGACAGTTTCCCAGGAGCGTCAGGGGTTATGTCATCTCAGACTCTCTTCTCCAGCCGGAGGTAGAAGCGGACCTCTACCTCACTGAGCGCAGCCTCTCACTGAGCACAATGTGAGACCAGGTTGAGCCTTTCCTTCTGATGCCTGTGTTCCACCAAGGTATTTTGATCTAAAGCAGACAGTTAAAGACTTAGTGGGTAAAAACTCTTTACTTCTCCATTCGTGCTGCTTTGTTTCTCAGGCTTACATCCTGGAAGGGACCACAGATGGCGTGTATTTAGCCTGACCTATTAAAATGTAACTGGGAGTCATCATCTTTAAATTATTTGATAAGACTAAACTTATAATGATACTGGGTTTTATTTTTATTTTACTGTTTTGAAACTTGGAAAAGGTGTTTGAAATTTGGTAGATTATCAGAAATACATGTGTGGACAACAGTGAATGCTATTCATGATGTAATAAAGATATATCCAAGAAATACTGGTTAGGTCCAGAATTTGCATTCGAAATCGTTACAGTAGAAAGCTAAGTTCCTTGATAAGTTTTTTGTAACCGATTTACAAGGGATGCCACTCCAGGCCTGAGGTAGTCATAAGGATGTTAGGCATAAGATGAAAACAAGCAGCTGCAATACAAACACCATGTGTGGAAGGCCACACATCTACTTTCCATTCTACTAAACATTGAGTGAACTAATGGTTTTGAATATAAACTAGCATCTTGTACATTTTCTAGGTCAGTAGTTTCCAAACATTTTTGATCATGCATTATTATCAGTGACAGGTTTTTGAAACTGTTTCTTTATGCCTTTTTACTTACAAAGTACACACATAAACTATTGTAAATACGTATATTACATAAAGCTTGATTGCTTCCTTATACTTGGAAAAAAATGAACTGTAACTAAGAGAATCTCTCCTTCCAGCACCCCAGTAGAGACTACTACTCTAGGGGATGTGAATGTTCTCTAGGGCCTAACCCTGCTCAGCCAGAAAGCAACAGATCGAAATCGAAGCAACAGAATAACGAGGAAGAGGCACTGCTCTGAGAGATGTATGCATTACTTTGCCCGAGTCATATGTTGCTGAACTGGAAGAGACCTCAGAGGTCATCTGGTCCAGCAGTTCCACTGAGCTCTAATTTTGGTAAACATGACTAGGTGTTGTGTGAAAAGAGGGGTTCCATGGTCAAAGAAGCTTGGAAAATTTTGGTTTTGACCATTTTATTTATTGAATGGTCAAAATAATAATAATTATTATTGGAGAGGTTTTTGCTATAGGGTGCTTGCGCTCACCAGAAAGACAGAGAGAGAGAGATAGAAAGTGAGAAATCATCCCCCAGAGGGGATGGCCACGCTGCAATCCCTTCTCCTCCATTCTCCTCTCGGGATCTTGGGCACGCACGCACATGCGCCCGGCATGAGTTTAAGCCACCGGGTCTGGTACCCGAACCACGGTCAACTACATGAGAGTTCAATGACATAGCCATTACGCTAACTGCTGGTCCTGGTTTGGACCATTTTAAACAGACGTCTTCATAGCAAATATATAGAACCTTTATTATGCAAATAGGTATTGTGACTCTTGAAGAGGGAGATACATTTCAACAACCACAAATGTCACAATCTTTCTAGACCATCCTGTGGAATTCCGACTCCACAAAGCACACATACAGAAACTACAAATCAGCTCACTCGACTGCAAGTACTGGCTCGGAGGCCAGAGCAGTTCACATGCGTGCTGGTGGCTCTCCAGAGCTGGAACACAGGTTCCTGATTTATTCTGTCTGGAGGAAAAGCTTTGTCTTTTCCTAAAACTGTTTCCAAAGAACGGTGCTGAGGTTCAGCACGAGCACCTTGGGGTTGCTCAGGAACCCACTTGGCTGCCTGGGCTGTCACAGCATTACTGTCACTTCTCAGTAAACCCAAAGTCTCTTTCCGAGACACCTGCATCAGCCTGGAGAGAACCTGAATCTGACTCTTAGGAATGAAGAGAATTTTTTGAAATGCATTCCATGATGTGTTAAAGTGAGAAAATAGATATACACATACATTAAGGAAAATAAAATAATTAGGTAACTGAGGCTTGGGAAAAGAAAAAGAACGTGTTCTGGGCCTTTCTGAATGTACCAGGGCACAGACAGACATTCACAGAACATGTCTCTCTCTAAAAACTTTCAGCCAAGCCTCTGACAATTTATTTTTCAAAAATAGTCATACTAAGGGACCAGCAAGTGGCATGGTGGTTAAGGTGCTGGACACTCCCACATGTCAACCACTGTTCAAGTCCCAGACCTGGTGGCTTGCTTTTTCACTTTCTCTCTCTCTCTCTCTCTCTCTCTCTCTCTCTCTCTCTGTGTGTGTGTGTGTGGTCATATTAAAATAAATGAATGAATAAATAAAATTAAATTTAAAAAATAATTCTTAAAATAAGTAGTTATACTAATGAATTAGAATAAAATGACCTGATTTTGGTCATAGAGGACTTTATCTCCTTATGAGCATTCCTTTTTAAGAATTCCTGTTCACACAATCATACTCGCACATGGATACCACACACGACACATGTGATTTCACAGCCACACATGCACAATACATGTGATCACACATTCTCACACAAACATAGTCTCCCACACAGTCATGTACTCAGATATAGTCACACACAATATACATGACCACACACATACATGCTGTTAGGTGCTCTTCTAACCTGTAAGGCTTTCCTGCATCACCCGGGCCGAGGTGCTCACAAGTATTTCACCAGCACCCACTTTTTCAAAAACTGGTTCCAGTGTTCTGACCTCTTGTGTCCCTGCTTACTGACTGGCTGCTGACACTGCTCTCAGCCATGGCTTGTTTCATTCTGCTCTTCCTGCCTCGCAACCTCCCAACTTTGTTCCCACTCTCCCTGGCCCTGCTGCTATGTGGCCTTCTGACCACATGCTTGCTCCATTCCTGACAAGGGAGGGAGGACCCTCTTCACTGAGATCTGAAAAATGAACCAAGCTCTGGGCCACGGGAGTCTGACGCCCAGCCCTGGATAACACCGTCTAGCCCCTCAGGGTCTCCAAGCCTGGAGTCTCCTTTCAGATTGCCTTCTCCATGTGCTGCCTCCATGGGGCCACCTGCCCTTGGCTGTTCTCCTCTTGGTCGCATCATACTTCTGTATGAGACTTTTGCTCTCCTGCTGCCCAGCGACCCTTAACCACTGCAAGAGGGACTCAGGGAAGGAAAAAGAGTTAAGAAGTCGAGAAACTAGGTTCAGCCCCTGATCTGCCACTCTGACCATATAGCTATGTTTCCTGATCTTCCTGGACCTCAGTTCTGTATGCTGCACCCAAGAGCAGCTTTGCTCTCCTGCTGCCCAGCGACCCTTAACCACTGCAAGAGGGACTCAGGGAAGGAAAAAGAGTTAAGAAGTCGAGAAACTAGGTTCAGACCCTGATCTGCCACTCTGACCATATAGCTATGTTTCCTGATCTTCCTGGACCTCAGTTCTCCCAACTGAAAGAGAGCAGCAAGGCCTTCTCCCTGGGATGATGTTAGAGTAAGGTGAGGTGTCTGCAGTGGCAGCTCAGGGCCTATGCAGAGGGCACTGAGCCATCAGGACATGGCGATGACAACTGCTACTACAGGAGGAGCATCCCTTTTGAAAAGGCTTGGGAGCAGGAGTGTTTCAGATCTTTCAGATTTTAGAGAATTTGCACATATGTAATGAAGTATCTTGGGGATGAAACCTAAGTCTAAACACAAAAATCACTTGTTTCATATATACCTCTTACACTAAAAGCTTGAGGTAATTTCATACAATATTTTTATATGACACTATTTAACTATGTCCCAACACATGACGTTGAGTATGGAATTTTCTACTTGTGACATCATGGTGACACTCCAAATGTTTTGGATTTTGGAACATTTTGGATTTGGGGTTTTCAGATTAGGGATGCTCAACCTGTATTATAAAACCACATGATGACATTGGCCCTTCTTCCAAAAGCATAGTAAGCGCATTCCCTTTTCTCTTACTTCCTCCAACCCAAAGGCTAGGCTCGAGGTGCTATGAAGTTCTGGCTACCCTGCAGGAAGTTAGGGCTCAGGAGTCTAGAATCTGAGGGCTAACACTGTCCAGACAGTGGACACAGGATAGCTCCTGTGAAGAGAGGAAGAGCACCAGACTTATGCAGAGTGCAAAGGTCAGGACCTTAGTGGCCTGAGTTATCAAATAGCTAGCTTCTTAAAAAACATATTGGGCCCTGGGCCAGCACATGGTATGGAGGTTAAGCACTGGGTTCCATGTGGTTGACTGCAGATCTAGTCCTGGACTAGGTGGCTTGAGAAGCACACTGTGTGTGTGTGTGTGTGTGTGTGTGTGTGTGTGTGTGCAAAGTCCTAAGAGAATGCAGGAGAAGGGATTGCATGGCCATTCCCTCTGGGACAGCTTTCTCCTCTCCCTCTCTCTCTGTCTCTCTCTGGCAAGTGTGGACACCCTATAGAAAAAAAATCATTTAAATGCTGGACCCTCAATGGTGGGATTCAAATCCCTCTCTTGCTGGGGTGGTGGCATGCTGGGACTTCCACTCCTTTAATCCCCCTCTAAATCATGTGGGAACTGTGCTGACCTAAGGATTTGCTTCCTGTGAGGCAGAGGGCGTGAGCTGGCTGCACTCACAATCTAATGTCTATGATCTGATAAGCTCTGGGGGTGAGCTCTTCATCTGCCTTCGGGGCGTTTTTGTTGAGGCACCTGGACAAGGCCCCTCACAAGTCGCTTCCCAAGGAACCAGGTCTGATGCCACTCCGCTGCTGGAGGCCTGGCTTGGGGAAGAGACCAGAGAGTATGCAAGCTTAGAAGTTCTGGTCATGACTACACAGCGTCAAGGGCACTGGCCTCAAGTCCCATGTGCTAGCTATCGGGAAGGATGTTAAATTGGACTCTCCTCTGCCATACAGCTACAATGGTCTATCGAAAGCATCTGACCATCTTCCTCCTCCATCTCCTAAACGTCTTCATTATTTTCCTATTGCCTTTATATAAAAACAAAATTCTTGATATGACTTTTAAGGCCCTGCCTGGCCCCTATAGCTTCATTCTTTCCATTTCAGCCACACATTCCCTATTTCCCCATTTCATATCTAATGCCCACTCTTCCTTCAGCCTAGGTCTCTTCGAACTCAATGTATCCCACACCTAAATGGATGTGTTGAGTGTAAGTGCCTACAGCATACTCACCTAGGGATAGGCAGTCAGACAATGGATAGAAAGACCTAGAGCAGAAGGTATAGATTTAAAAATTGTCAGCATGTTGATGACAATTTAACCCTGTGGCATAGGTGAGCCAGCCAAAGAGAATGTTCAGAGAGAAGAGAAGGTGGCGAGGTCAGGGCCTTGGGAACACCGGCATTTAAAGATTGAACTGAGGACAGCGAGAGTGGAATGGAGACGGAGACGGAACTAGCAGAGGGTAGGAGGAAAACCGAGTGCCTCATCCTAAAAGATAGTTTCTTTCTTTCTTTTTAAATTTATTCATTCTTTTATTTTAATTTGACCCAGACACACACACACACAGAGGGTAAGTGAGAAAGCAAGTCACCAGGTCCGGGACTTGAACTATGACTGGCCACGTGGGAGTGCCCAGCGCCTTAACCACCACGCCACCTGCTGGCCTCCTAAAAGTTTCTAGCATACATGTGGCCCTCCCTGTTTTAGGCATCAGAGAGGCCAACTCTCAGCAAGAGCAGCCACAGGGCCTTGGGTTGGGTACAAGTGGGACCTACTTTAGACTAGTACTGAACAATAAAACTTTTTGTGATTGTGTAACTGTTACGTATTTGCAGTGTCCAATATTACAGCCAACAGCTACATGTGGCTATTGGGCATGTAAGTGTGGCCAGTGCAACTGAGGAATATTGATTTTATTTCATTTTAATTTGAACAGCCATATGTGACTAGTGGCTACTGTGCTGACAGCACAGCTTCCAACCTCCCCTGGAGTTATACCAGCTGGGTAGAGAAGGGAAGGGGAGTTAAGACAGAGCCATAGAAAGACGTTTCCGACATCAGGACCTCAGGAGAGAAAATAGGTCACTTCCCTCGTACAGAGGTTAGCCAGGAAACATGTCTATTTCTCCCAAAAGTAAACAAAGTACGATAAGAACAGAGAGTAAAATAGGAATATGTATAATTGAACAGAGGACACTCATAACAGGTTCTCTTCGTTTTTTTTTTTTTTTTTTTTTCTGAGAGGGCATCTGGTTCCTTCCACATGTGAATTAGCAGTCCCCTCAATTTTTACATCTAAATCATCACCACCAACAGGTGGTGCCCTCCTGTCCCCCCCCCTTTTTTTGGTATAGAAATGTACCATTTTATTATAAAGAATCTCACAAAAAAATGAAAATAGTATCTCAAAAAAGGAAACTAGAGGGAACCAGCAGTTAGCTTAATGGCTATGTCGCTGGATTCCCACATAGTTGACCGCGGTTCGCGTCCTGGACCCGGTGACTTAAAACTCACGCCAGATGTGTGTGCGTGCGTGCCCAAGATCCCGAGAGGAGAATGGAGGAAAAGGGATTGCGGCGTGACCATCCCCCCTGGGGGGTGATTTCTCGCTTTCTGTCTCTCTGTCTCTCTCTGTCTGTCTGGCGAGCGCACGCGAAAATCTCTCCAAAAACAAAAAAAAGGAAACCAGATTACCACTTCCACCTGCAGGACTAGGGGCAGCCGAGGCAGGCAGTTGTGAGGGTCATGGCTCCCAAGTGGGAAGGTAGGAGACCAGAACCCATCCAAAAATAACTGATGTCACCTTAGGAGCCTGAAAAGAACAGGGTCCCTGAAGACCTGACTACCCCTTCTAGAATGCTAAGGGGACCTTTCCAAAGCTACTGAACAGGCATTTGGCATTTCAGAGTATGGTTCAAAGCTAACCAGGGAGGGATGAGTGCAAGGAGCTGCTAGGGGAGTTAGCCCAGTGGGCTACCCTGGGCTCGGGGCCCTGATTCCTGTCTAGTTCCTGGAGATATTGATAGTTAATATATTTTATATAAATACACAGAAATAGAAAATATAAAATCTGAGGGCGTGGGGAACTTGGCAAGGAGTCAGATCTGAAGAGGTTGCTCAGGCCATCTTGCCTTCCTCCTCAACCCCTTTGGCTTTGGGCTTCTCCTCCTTAGCTTTCTCCTCCTGCCCTTTCTTCTCTTTCTTCCTCATTCCCTTCCTTCTTTCTCTCTTTTTTTTTTTTCTGGTTTTCTTTTTCCTTTCTCTCTTTTTTGTCTAATAATAACCCTATCAGTAGATAAGTGCTTTAGAATATTTTGGATTTGACTGCTTTAAGACTGTGTGGGATCATAATGAAAAAATTATCTGGAAAGAGCGAGTGTGATGGGGTTGGACAATGACATAGTGGCAACACAATGTTCTGCAAGGCTGACCCCTGTGGGAAGGCTCTGGGTTCATGTCTGGAGACCTCTCTGAGTGTGCTGGACATGTGCCCATGATCTGGGGCTGGCTGAAGCTGGGGGTGCACTGCAGCATCAAGACTCAGTTAGGGGCCCAGCCTCTGAGGTGCAGTTGGTAGTGTACTCGATTGCACCCAAGCTAGGAGCCACATGGATTGAGTCCCTGGCCCAGTCAACCTGAAATAATGGAGTGCACCTGTGTGCCCAGGATCCTGGCAGGCTGGAGAGGAGGAAGAAGATAACAGTGTAACCAAACCTTGTGAAGGATACTTCTCTTTGTATGTGTGTGCTCTAAAAAAAGTTAAAAAAAAAAAACAAAAAACCCTGTTGAGAATGCTGTCTTTGTCTCTCTTGCTCAATGATTGAACAAATAAATAAGCTTTGGAGAAACAAGGAATGAGACCGAAAGAGAAAGGAGTTATTCCTTTTCCTCTCCTGGTAGAGAGGAAAGGGCCTGGCTAGGAATTGTGGTCCTATGCTCCAGCTCCAGATGTCACCATCTAGCTGGGTGGTCAGAGCAGCTTGTCCCCAGCTGTGGTCTCAATCCCCACTGGCTGTGGACTATGTTCTGGGAATGGAGTCTCCACACCAGGGTAGACCCATGCCTGGCCTGATGGGAACAGCATCACATCTGATTAGAATAAGGCCAGCACTTGAAAACATTGACTAGGGGCCAGTGTGTGGTGTGGTGATTAAGGTGCTGGCCTCTTACATGGCCGACCGTGACTCAAGTCTTGGACCTGATGGCTTG